TTTTGATGACATCTTTTAAAAGAGTCCTTGATTTTATATTGTTTATCATTTAGTTAGTAATAACCAGATTTGCATATTCATTCCAGTACAATAGCATGTATCTGTGTAAGCTGGAGTTTCATTCCTGGGTTATTAGTATCTTTATAGAAATGATAACACGTGAAATATTGGGGGATATAATTCTTTTCTTCCTACTACCCAGGAAAGAATGTGGGTTTTAAGAAAATCTATCTAATGTCAACTTTTACATTTATACTATAATAGAAACTAGGCTTATTAAATGAACTATTTCTAATCTAGTAGAAAATTGATCAAAACTTATTCTGTAATGTAACATCTCTATTCACTACAACTGCTTGCAAGATGTAGACAGAATTAATATGAAATAGTGAGTTGTTTTCTAATATTTCAAACATTAGAATTATAATGAAAAGGGACAGATGGAGTAAAAAAATCTCTGAATACTTAGTAAGTGCTCCTAGATGCCACCACTGTTATCTTCACAGACAGGATTAACAAGAGAGGGAAACACACTTTTGAGAGTTATGTTCAAAAGCAAGGATAGAAATATGAAAAAGTTATCATGCAGTCAGAAAAATGAGGGGACATAGACATATAGCTAGTGTTTCTATTGGTAACTTGTTTTTATATGTATATATTTACATGAGGTAAGTATTAGAAAGGTTAGAAAACCACTGGAAAATGAAGGGGGTTTGTCACTTATAAGAGCAAAACTCAAATTCATTAGAAAGATAGCAGATCAGTAACGAGGTAAATACACCGATAATCTACCACCTGTATAGTAAATTTTAACTTGAGACTCAAAACTCTTCTTTTACTTTTTTGGAGGTTTAAGAATGACTCTCTTACTTGGACAGTATTAAGGGAAAAATGTGGCAATATTTTAATTGCTATCAAAGTGAGTTTTTCCTGAATACAAATTGCTCATTAGTTCTTTCCTAGATAACTATGGCCAGGAGGAAGTGACCTTGGGTCATTCCCGATTTGGGAGAAGGTATTTGCAATCTCGAAACTCCAACCTAAGTATATGATACTTTGACATAGATTTCAAAGCAAGCTGACAAAGATTTTTGGGCAAATGTTCAGTCTAGAGAAGCAGTTCCGAAGGAGATCATAGGAGCCTGGCAGACACACTGGTGCCTGGGACGTTCTTGTCAGAGAGCAGATCAGGGGGCTGCTGGTCTGGATCAAAGGGAGGGCCTTTCTGCAGCCACAGCCAAGGTCAGGGTCAGAGTAACACTGGTAGCTGCTGGAGGTGTCTTCTATCACTCAGGACCTGGCCTTGCATGGCACTTCACTGTTGGCTCCAGAACAACCTGGTGTGGGGAGGGGAGAGAAGGCGGCTTGGAAGCCAGAGTGAATCTGTTGATTTGCACACTGGGTTTGTCCCTTAATGACTGGATGTCAAATGGTGACAATTTCTAAATTAAAAGATTTTTTGAGAATGGGTCTGTCTTTGTAATCTGCCAGGAACCTCGTGGGCTCATAGGCAGTGGAGCTCATAAGAAACTCATGCTGGGTAGAGTTGGCACTGATTCCTTGAGCTGAGTCAAGTTTTGAGGAAGCTTGTTCTTTTAAAAGATTATTGCAAGTCTGAAAATAATGATGATGGCAGTAAATTATGGACAAGTTTTTCGAGTTGTGTCTTATTAAGAGGCAGCCTACCTCAGCAATCAGCCTTTTGACTTAAACGCAGCCTGCAGTAACTTCTCTGGGTGGTGGGTGTTTTCCAAAATAGATTAAAGTAGTTCCTGTTCATGCTTGGGGAAAATTTCCTAATTGCATCTGGCTAAATTTCACTGTGAGAGGTTACACTTCCTTTTTTTCAATATAATCTTGGTTCCTGCATTAAACAAAAGCCAATTTGCAATGCCTTAAAATGAACACAGTGATAGTACATTTTGAAATCAAACTTTATGTGTTCTATGTTTACATAAACACATCTAAAAGTTATACACACATATACACATATAATAGTTACATACTTATAAAGATATAAGCACACATGTAAACATTTCTCTGTTTGCATAAGAAATAACAACCCAGATTGGTTGTTAGGAAACATGTCTGTTTCCTAGAAATTTCTCTCATTCTCATGCCTGGGCCTCTCCGGGCGCAGGAGTCAGTTACTATCAGCTCACGAGAACTGATTCTGCTCATCCTTTCCCAGACTCTGGTGTAATGACATCTTGTTGGCAGTTTGAAACTGACCACAGTGTGGGTATTTACATCATGGAAATGGACAAACACTTCAAATCGTGCATTCTGGTCTTTTTTGAGAGTCAGTTTATTAGCTCACATTGCCTGACCTACTGCGCACACTGTTCCACTGGGTGGGTGAGCTCTCTCCTGACTTGGAACACTGCAGAGCAGCTGTCACTTTGGAACATTCTGCAAATGGAATCATGCTGTTGGGAAGCTTTTGTGTAATGCTTTCATTGAATCACACCTGTGAAGCCCATGTTATTACCTGTTGATGTCTCAGTGGTATATACATAGGTACATATACAGGCAAACACACATATGCACACACTATATGTATATATACATGTACATACAGATATCATGTAAATCCATGACATATTTAGCTCTGTTACTGATGACTGACCCAGTGTTGTTTCTTTTGGCTATTATTAATATGTTACAATAAAAATACTCGTACACACAAGATTTTAAAATCTGACATAACTGTGAGAAAATGTCTCTTTTACATTTTCTCATGATGTTTAGAAATCTACTTTTTTCATTTCCTGCTAAGTTTGTCCTGTTTGTAATCCAGCGGATTTAGAAACTGTGGTTCAGCTGTCACTGCGTTCAAATTAGTACTGATAAAAAGGGACTTTTGCAAAAGGGATTTTTTGCAAAAGGTAAGAAAACTGATCCTTGGTCTCTTGGTTTGTTTAGATTTGATTTTTACACACCTGCAAAGCACATTTTTGATGAGTAAAATGTGTTCCCAAGCTTCACATATGTAAAAATTATCTTCATGTTTTCGAATCTGTATTTTTAGAACAATTAAATTTTGACGAATATGGTTTTAATAGATCTGCTTATATAACACTCCTTAGCTTTTCCCATTTCATTCTCTTAGTTCTCTGTGTTCCTTAGGCTCTGACACGTAACTGCTTTTTCTAGAATTTGTTACTTGTGTCATGGATTTTTCAGAGGCAGGAGGCATGTCTTGTTCACTTCAGCCTTTTATGTGAACTGCTTACCCGCCTACCCTTGTCCACAAATAAAATGTTACTATCAGCGTTAACCAGTTTTTAATTAAAAAAGCTAAAAAAAAAAAAATCCCAGGAGATGGTTTTCATGCATCAAAGAATCATTTCCTTTGTATGTTGGAGTTTTGCATAAAGCGAAGAAGAATTTTCCTACTACAGGCATTTATACATCATCAGCCCTTAACTGGAGCGTCCAGGCCATGTTTCTATGACTACCATTCTCTTCCCTCCCTTGCAGGCCAGGAGGCAGCATGAAAGCTCCAGACACAAGGCAGCTTAGAAGGAAACTTGGTTATACAGCGAAGGATTTGAAAATATTAGACCGCCCCTTGCCCAAAAGTTTGTGCTTTGATAAAAGCCTGCAAAACCCTCTCCAATCAGACCTTCTTTCATTTACTTGATTTCTCTGCTTCCTCAGTGGTCTTGTTACTAAGTGGTTAACATGAGCTATTGTCACTGAGGGAACATGTTGTACGTGAAGATTTTTTCCAGCATAGGCAAGGGTCACTTGCTGAGGTGGGAGGTGTTACTGAATTTCCAGAAACGCCCAGGACAGATGTTTCCTGGAAAACACCCACCTGAATTCAGCTTTACGGGTGCAAAATGAGAAACACGAGTCATGTACACTCTTGGCAGAAAAAGTTGTGGGGATACAAATGGACTGTGAGCTGAACAGGGAGAGCACTTAGCACAGTGGACATGTGTGGTCAGTCTGTACAACCTCGAGAGGCACCTTCATGGAAATAGCAGGTTCAGGGAAAATGTGTACCTCCAGTACATGTGACTGGATTCCTGTTTTCTGTAAAAAGGCGGTGGTGATATCTACCTTGCGGAGGCAGGCTTAAAGCCAACATAAGCAAAACAAGTATTTGGGACATTTTAAAAAGTTATCTAATGTTATCTTTTGGAGTTTGGTTTTGTCATCTAAAGAGGTTTATGTTCAACTGGGAAGAAGCTAAAACCAATGTACACCATTCAGTTCACTGCAATATTTAGAACTTAGCGCTTCCCATCTGCCAGACGATAAAAACACAATCACGTGTGTCTTGCATGCCTCTGTTGACAAGAGACCAGGCTTTTCATCTGCGAGGGCTAGGTCCAAGTTGAGATGCACATGAGAGTCTCCTGACTTTTTTATAATACATGATAATCTCCTGGGTGGGGGCAAGGTGTCACTGTTCGGTTTTCTAGCCCCTGTGGTTCAAGACCATCAGGTGTTAAAACTGATGACTTCTAAGCCCCCAACGTCTTTCTAGATCTGTGACCTCTTGAACACTCACTGGGTGACTGAAGTGTCCCACATTCTGTGGGTTGTACATGGGAGGGTCAGAGGATGAGAATGTTCTCAGAGGACATGCCTATGACAATCCAGGCGGAGCCTCAGTCATGAGTCTCAATATAGTTTGTGGAGGAGGCCGAGGGGGTGGCTGGAGTGGTTGGAGGTTTCCTTGGACTTAACTTGACCCTGGGGAAACGATAGCCTGTGATTTTGTCTTACCTGAATAGGGGAGATTCTACCACAAAGTGGGTGGAAATGTGCCCTCAAAAGCTATAAGTTCTAGTTGCTAGTGAGTATGACCTTATTTGAAAAGAAGTTTGTTGTAGATGTCATTAAGCGAATATGAAGTCATAGTAGATTAAGGTGGGCACTAATCCAATGTCTAGTGTCTTTATAAGAGGGAGGGAATTTGGATATGCCGACACAGACACACACAGATACCACGGCTGTGCAGATGAGGCAGAGAGCGGAGTTACCTGTACGGCAAGGCATGTGGGCCACCATCAGAAAGAAGCTGGGGGACAGGCAGGGTGAGTGTCTGCTGAAGAGCCTCAGATGAACCAGTTCTGCCCCGGGAATTTGGGAAGTCTGAATGTCTTGTGTCTGGACATCTGGTCTTCAGATCTGTGGAACATTCAGTCCCTGTTGTTAGACTTGCAGTGATAATTCAGCACCCTTAGGAAGTGAATTCACATTAATGCAGACTGTAGATCTCTACCTGTATCCCTGTCAACATCAATATCTGCACACCAGGACCACGGGGACCGGACACTTCCAGTTTTAATGATGTTTACCTGTCTTTTCTGATCATTTCTCTCTCTCTTTTGGCTTTAGGTTGTCATCCCTTTCACAATGGAGTCTTTGGTGGCAGCAAACACCAAGTTTTGTTTTGATTTTTTCCAAGAGATAAGCAAAACTCACTTTAATAAAAACGTCTTCTACAGCCCTCTGAGCCTGTCGGCGGCCATCGCCATGGTCCGCCTTGGGGCCAAGAGTGACAGTGCGCAGCAAATTGACCAGGTGAGGCCAGGGCCCCCTGCTCAGCTGGACCCTCACCCTCTTTGATCAGCTCTTTGCTCCGCCGTGTGTTGGCTGGTGGGCGTGTCTTCCTCCCTGTGTGGCGCTGCCGGGCTGTCCTGCTGCTTTCTGTTTGGTCTGGCCATTCTTCAAGGTGCAGTGAACTCCACCTCCCTCAACACACCTGTCAGACCCCACCAGGCCTTGCCAGCTTTTCTCACTCTTCCCTGCCTGTCGCTTCCACTGTCTGTCGCTTCTCTCTGTAATCACTGATGCCAATAGTCCCCATCATTTGACACGTGCATTTTCTCTCTCCCTCATTCATCCAGTGACTATTTGGGGATGTTCGTTCTGTCTCCAGTGGCTAAACATCTTGTGTCCTCCTGTTCACGTCTTGACCTCTCTCTCAACATCAAATCTGTCAGAAAAGGCTGTTGGCTTTGTCTCCAAATATACCCAGAACTCAGGGACTCCTCACACCTGCCTGAGAGCTGAGCCACCTCCATCCCTCCTAACCTGGACCGACTTCCCAAAGATCCCCTGGCTTCCCCCCAAAGAGGGCTCAACCTGGATGCCAGAAAGGTCCATTTCAACCCTACCTCAGTTCTTGTTTCTCATCTGGGCAAGATCCGGACTTGCCATTTCACTAGTGTTAGGCTCCTGCTTCTTGATGGTGGCCCAAGCAGGTGTGGGGACGTGGTTCTAGATAACCCAGGACTCTATCTCCAGCCACTGGAGTCCCTGCTTCCTCGGGCAAGTGCCTTCCACATCTTTGCTCCAGGACCTTCTGACGACTCTTCCCTCAGATAATTCATTTGACTTTCTCCTTCAGGATTTTGAACAGACTTACTCTTCTCAATAAGACCTACGTTGGCTGTTCACTCTATCGCTGCCCCCAGCACCCTCAGAACCCCTCCACCCCATCTACTTTCCCTCCACGTAATATTTTCTACCTCCACGCATCTTGCACAGACGACTCTACAGAGTTACTGCTTGTGTGCCTCCCGAGCCAGAAAGAGAAACTCCTAGAGGAGGGGAATCTTGCCTTAGAACAGACCTGGGCTCATAGCGCTCCGCGAACGCGAATGTGTAGAATGAGTGAATGAAAGTGACAAGGAGCCGGCAAGCTGGACTCTTGCCTCTTGGCTCAGGCAGGTGCAGGGTTTATATGTGCGTGAGTTTGCTCTGCCGAATTTGAGGAGCAAGTTCCTGGACTAAAGCAGAACAGGGCTTAGGATCATTCTACCACCTGCGTTTACTTACTGGGGTATTAGCCCACTAGCAAGCCTCAGCTTCATTGTGTGGTCGGTCATCTTTCAGTCTTCCTACGGCATTTGGGCGTCTCCTCCCAGCAAACCTGCCCTGAGCAGAGGAAGAGGACCCCTGACGTCACCCTTCCGCATGTGTCCCCTTCTGCAGTGCTCTGGTTAACTTGACCTTGGCTTTCCTCAATCACTCCACTGGGTGTAAGCTCTAGAACAGCACTAACTCAGACATTGCTCGAGTTACGTGTGCAGTTCTATATACTTTTTGGAAAGAAGAAAGCAAAAAGAAATAAGTGAGGCTCATTTGGGTGATCATTTTTTTTGGCTTAGTACCCCTCAACGCCACATTCACGTTCAGTTTGAATGAGAGAGTTTGTGCTTTTTTTTCATATTAACTCTTCAGTATCTGGTGAGCATTTACACTGTCACCTGAGCAGCGCTCAGTTGCCCACGCGGCTGTGGGCATCTTGACGGTCCCTTGGTTTGGTGACATTCATTCACACACACATGGGGGGTGCGGGGTCGTCGCCCTTCCACCTCATACCCCAAGTCAAAAGAAACACCCACTCCGCTTTCCACTGTTGTTGTTCTGTCTGACAGTGTGGTTGCTGCCCCTGTCAGCTATGAAGCTCTGCACGTGTCACTCTGCCTCAGAGCCCCCGGCTGTCATTTCGCAGGTGCTGCACTTCGATGAATTTTCCCAGAACCAAGGCGATGAACGGGATCCCTGCCTGAAAAGCAGAACGCAAGAAACGCTGGCCGACAGCTCTCTGGAGGGCCAGAAGTCCTCGGCAGAGTCTCTGACGGAGCAGGTGAGCCCCACAGACTCGCTCTTCTGCCTGCAACGGCTCCTTTGGCCAAGGTTGCCACCCGACCCTGGTCCTGCCACCATCAGCAGCCACACAGCGATGATCACTGGGCCGCGGCTGCTGTGTGTCTCAGATGTCCTCTGTTTCCCAAGGGTGACAGCTAGAACCTTCTGCTTATGATAAAGACACTCAGAGCACGGCCCGGGGCCACCGCATTTGCAGGTCCCCAGCACAGAGCACTCAGCCCTGGGGTCCCTGGGGCCTCCCCGCTCTGCCTGTCCTATTTCCTCTGAACCCTGTGCGGACACACGCAGCTAGCCTGTCCTCACACCAGGGGCGGGCAGGGTTCTCCAGGTTGCAGGTCTGCCTCCCTGGTGAGGCTAAGGAGGACGGTGAAGAAAAGAGTCTCTTCCTTGTGTCCTTCGAATATGCACAAAGACCAGACCCAACACACCGTGCATTGCCGAGTTCCCAGACAGATTTTCTTTTTTTTTTCTGGGCGACCTTGACGCACTCAGGCGGGACCCTGACGGCTTTCCCGAGCCCTGGTCGCCCTCCATTCCCCGCTTTTTGTCAGCTTGCGCCCTCCCGTGGCAGCACAGCAACAAAGCGAGACGACGACTAGCTTGACCACTGACCACGAGCACGTTTTGTTTTTTTCTTTTGTCAGGAGCCTTCCAACCCCGAGAGTGAACTGCTTAGTTGCCACTTCGGGCATCTCCTCTCCAAGTTAGACAGGATGAGGGCGGACTGCACCCTCAGTATCGCCAACAGGCTCTACGGGGAGAAGGAATTCCCAATCTGTCCGGTGAGTCCGGCGCGACTGGCGAAGCGCGCGGCCACCCCGCGCGCCCGCTGCAGAGCCCAGGCGTAGGCGGGGACGTGCCGGCGGGGCCAGCACCCACCTCTCCGCTCCTGCACTCTGCGGGCCTCTCCCAGTTTCCACCCGCGTGCATGAAGGGCAGGTGCGAGTGGAACAAGCTGGTGAACAGCGATGGTGGATGGTGGAGAGGTCACGTGCCCAGGGGCCTCCGGCGTCTCCGGAGCGGTTCGGTCCTGCTGTTCTCCCGCGACCACCTTTCCCGCGCAGACGCCAGGCAGAGGCACCTGGTTACTCCTCTTCCTGCCCCCTCCCCGCCCCGCCCCCCGCACTTCCTGAAATCACCCCGCCGCCCCCCAGTACTCACTTTTAAAGCGGAGTGGGTAACGCAGGAGTCCACGTGGGCTCCCGGCCGAGCGGGGC